AAAATAGATAGTGAATTACCTTTTTGAGATGGAGAGAATAAGTGGTTTTGAATAGTTTAAAGAGTAAAAAATGATTTTTTTTTCAATATTACTCTTATTTAATTAGATACAATAACTACATGCAAAAGTGACTCTTGATGTTGAGATAAAGAGTAATTTGATCGAGTTACCTTTAATTTTATTGTAATTGTAACACCCCTTCTCGGTCCACCCGTAAACCCGAATGCACCGAGTCGAGATGCTACAAACTGGTTGACTGTATGGTCTGACATGCTGAAAACATTGACATGCTGAAAACATACTGTATATTGATATAATAAATGCTGTAATCTAATATCATGCTGAGATTGCTTATAGTAATAATGTACTGAATATTTACAAGACATGATACTAGTTACAAAATGGATTGGGCCCAACTGTGTGCCTCGTACATGCCATAAAAGAATAACAAAATGAGTTTCTACCCTGAAGACCGAGTCTTCTACAGATGAATGGCAGCAGTTGTAAACGGACCCTCTACGAACTAGTCTCAAAACCTGCGATTTAAACAGGTAACTAGCTGAGCAAATAAAGCTCAGTGGATATCTCAACATAAAACAACAATAAGCACACATATAAGCAAAAAGCATTATGTAAGCACATAAATGCATATGGATAATTAAACATATAAGCACATATAGCATGATCCTTTCATTATACCTTGATTATCTTTCGTACTGGTTATAATACTGTATGATTCATGAAATGTTATGTCAAGATATCTGAATGGCTCCATAAGGTTATAGTGAAACCGAAGTGATAAGAAAAATGTGGGTCCCGAATATATATGGCACAACCCAAGAGGGGAGTGAATTGGGTTTTCTAAAAACTGAAATAAATTTTAGAAATTCTAAACAAGGATTAGAATTCTAAGCACAGCGGAAAAATATCCACTCAACGGCCTGTTAGCCGGAGTTCCAAACTGTTATGGGCGCAGATCTGCTATCTATTGTCGCTCGACAGTAGCCTTACTCCTCACAATAGGTTTCTACCTACCTCAATAGGAGCTTAAGAGTTAGCATGTTCAACACATGTAACACCAAATAGCACATAATAATGATTGCATAACTTTATAGTTCATCATATTGATTTGATTTCACATCATATGAATGCTTGTATGTTGTTTTAATCCATGTTCTTATGTTGTATTTCTGTTAAACAATGATTGGATACATGCATGTTGAGCAAAGGAATGTAATTGTATAGAAAATGACAAAGCATCAGTCGCGAGCGCGACATTCCAAGTCGCGAGTGCGAGATGCTTCCCAGAGAGAAGTCGCGAGCGCGTCTTCAAACCTCGCGAGCGCAAGAAATGCATTTGAGAGTCAGAGGGTTTTCTGGCTCAAGTCGCGACCGCGCAGCACACGTCGCGAGCGCGCTTGTGTGATTCGCGAGCGCGAGATGCGCACACTGAGAGTCAGAGAGCTTCTGGCCAAAGTTGCGACCGTGCATGTGATCCTCGCGAGCGCGAGTTGTGCAATTGAGAGTCAGAGAGCTACCTGACTCAAGTCGCGAGCGCGCAATAGGAAATCGCGAGTTGAAAATAAAGACCAAAGCAAATTCATTAATTCCATGGTCGGAAAGAAACTATTATTGGAGCATAAATTACTCCGTCCCTTATCGGTTTTACTATTTTCTTTTTAGCTAAAATAAAAAATTTAGCAATAAAATCGAATTCAAGATAAATAAAATTAAAAATTAAAAATTAAAACTCAAATCCAATTATTCATCCATATAGAGTTGAAAACCTGTAAGAAAGATCCAATTATGCTAAAAAAAAGTTGCAATACTAAGATGTGTTTTCCTAAGTATCCTGCGAAATGTTTTACCAAAGTATGTTATAGCAGAAGCCAAGCATGATATGACCGAGAGGAGTTAAAATGGGATGGCATGTCAAGTTTGACACGAACACGACCGATTTAATAATTGTGTTAAATTTGTCAACACAAACATGACACGAAAATTAGGCAGGTGACACTAACACAACACGTTTAACCCACCTAATATCATAAACAAGTTAAGTAGGTCGTGTTGACCCATATGCAACCCATGTAACCTGATTAATATAATACACGGGTTAAGTGGCTGATGTTGACATGTATGCAACCCGCTTAACCTATTTAACTCTAATCACATTAAAAAATAAATTTTCATACATAAAATGCATAAATTCTTCAAGATTCATAACTAAAATAAAAAAAGTAATACAACAGTAAAATTTAAGTATGTTTTAGTTAGAGTAATCTAACATTAAAATTACCTCTTTACTTTTAAATAAACGGGCACTCGCCTAACCAGCCTATCAATCCACGACACGACACGTTTATATTCACCATAAATGGGTGACTCGTTGGCACAAACCCATTTAACCCTAACCCTAACCTATTTATTTCACATGTTAAGCGAATTGTGTTCGCGTGTCATAACCCATTTTGACACCCCTTATGACCTGCATATTAATGTATTTTTCAATAGTGATAATAATTTTGAAAATTTAACTAATTATATTGAAATAAGAAATTAAGTATTATTTTGTTTTTTTTATTGAATAGAATTAAGTTTTTTTATTTTTTATGATTTATTATAAATTATTATTTATTTATTTGAAATATTAATATATTATAGTTATTTAGTATAGCGTGTACTAAGAGTCTGAATGTCCTACTTTTTTAAAAATTATCGTATTGTGTAGGTTCTCGTATCTTGTGTCCTGTGTCCGTGCAACCTAAAATTAAATTTTCTTTACAAATTTATCTTTACAGCTTTTTTTCCTTCTAATTTGAAGAAAAAATTATTAGAATTCTTTTCCCTTATATTCTTTTCTTATTTCCAAATAGAATAGTTTTTGCTTATTAATATTAGTTTAGTTTTCTTTTCTTTTTAGTTATTCTTTTCCCTTATATTCTTTTCTTATTTCCAAATAGAATAGTTTTTGCTTATTAATATTAGTTTAGTTTTCTTTTCTTTTCCCCTCCTATACGATATTATCTGAAAATATAAAACAACTTATCTTTCTTACAATTACTGTTATTACAACTTATCTTCTTACAATTATGCTAAATAACTATTCTCCTTACATTTGGCAATTTAAGAAACTTACATTTGACTGTCATTTAAGATATATTTCTCTACTTTTATGTATTGTATAGATATAGATTGACAATCATTAATAATAAATATAGTATGAATATATTTTTATATTTTTTATAGAAATAAGAAATATAATTATCAAAATTAAAATTTTCTATATGTCTTGACAGAAAAAATTAATCTTGAATATATTAATATTTTATCAAAAGAAAAGAATTTTTAAGAAGATAAATTTCAATAATTGTTTTCATTAAATTATAAAATTCTTCAATATTACCGATAACATGTATATTGAATAATTAATGACTTCTCGCTCTTTAAACAATAAAATTAAATTACAAAATTTTAGTTTATTAGCAGTAGCCTCTACCTTCTACTCTTCTTTTTGCTTCTCCTCTTTTTACATTTAATTTTTTATTCACTCTAATAAACTCAGATCTGTCTTTCTTTTTTAGTTTTATTATTGTCATTTGTCTCCATATTTAGAGTTTTTTTGGTCCATTCTTTGTGAGGGTAGTCTATTCTTTGTGAGAGTTTGTTACTTAATAAAGATATGATATTTGATTTTATTTGGTTGCAGATTTTAAATCTAGATTTTTAGGTGTGGATTTTCGATCAATAGAACCTGGTAGTGCGACATATTTCTCTATTGCTGCTATTAACGCATAGTGACGTAAACTCATCTATATTCATCATATGTTGTAAATTCTTGGAAAAACAATTCGGGTGTAGAAGATCTAGAAAAGTTATTATTTTGTCGTCCAAATCAATTAATGGACTAGTTGCTGCTATAAAATTTTATATCTTTTGTCAAAATAAGCGGTAAGTGGAAATATCTAATATTATATATATTTTAATTTAGTTTCATTATTCAAAAGAATATGAATTCTTTTATTTCGTTAAAAGATTAACTAACTCTACTAGCTACTAATAATAGAGTTCTACATTTAGTTTATATGATTATTTATAATTTTTAATATTATTATTAATAAATTATATTTTTAAAAAAATTATAAAATTTTATTATAATTAGCATAGTCAATATCTAATTGACAGTTGACATGAAAATCATATTTTAAACAAGATTCATGCAATTCATTTGGATACACCATAGGTAAAATCGAATCTTCCAAAAAGCAATGAAGATAATTCATAATTGATGATAGAGAGACGGTGGCGGTACCACTGAAGGCATCCCCCTTTTGGTTTGTCTTTTTGTATGCAATAATAAAGCAGTGGTCAATAAAAATATGAAGAGCACTTTTCTTTCTGTGTTTGTGTCTTTTGATGTCTTTTCAGTTTTTTTACCTCCTTTTTAGTTATTGTGTGATATGTAAGGTATTGATTGCCTTTTTATGTGAGTAGGAATACCTCTAATTATTAAAGGAATGATCTCAATTTGTTTGGCTCTCTTTTGTCCCAAAATGAGATCAACCCAACACAAATGTCCCCTTAGATTCTTAAATTCAAATTCAAGTTACTAGAGGAATGATATATATTTTTTTTAATTATTAATAGTCCTTCTGTCCACTAGTTTGTTCAAATAACTAAATCATCACTGAGATTTGTCTCTCTTAGACTATATAATCCTTCTGTCTATATTTAGAGATTTTTCCGGTAAAAAATAACAATAAATGAGAGAGAAGTCAAATAAATCTTTTAAAATGACAATTTTGCCCTTAATTAGAGAAGGGTTTATCTTTTTTTTTTTTTTTTTTTTAATTAGAGAAGGGTTTATCTTTTTTTTTTTTTTTTTTTTGAAGAGAATTGCAAAAAGTTTTTTTTTTTTTTTTTTTTTTTGAAGAGAATTGCAAAAGGTTTTTTTTTTTTTTTTTTTTTTAAAGAGAATTGCAAGAGGGTTTGTTAAAAATAATTCACAATATGGTTTTTAATGAACAAATTAGACAAAAAAAAAAGTGGAAATATAATTTAATTTGCAAGGCTGCCAGTTTCATATATTGTGCAATTGTTTTTTCCTGATAACATTCACATGTCGGAAGTATGGCAAGCATCACAACCGCATTACAATCGCCATTTACCCATTTCGTCGAACACTTGGCATACACTAACAATACCCTGCGGAAATCATGTTTAAATCCACCAAGTTAAAAAAGGAAAAATTATAAGTCACATATATTTTTGGTTTTAGTTTAATTATAGTTTAATTGACGACGGTGCTGTAGGTTTTTGCCGTTGATGGTGATGAGGGCGCTCATTCCAGGACTGAGAAGGAAATATCCATCTCACGAATATGTATCAGCTGTCATTTTAGTTGTGGAGTTAATCCTTTTCACTTTAGCAGATGCAAAAACTTCTCATAATTTCAGCATCATACGCATTGTTATGATACTGGTGCTTTAATCATGGATTCCTTTCTTGATAATTTACAAGAAGCTATTTTTACAATGAATCCTGAAACCACTCGGGTAAATATATACACGCTATTCCCAACTTGTTCAAATGCGATTCTTGATTTTGTTGTTCTTTTTCTGATAATCAAGTTCTCTTTACAGACGGAAATGCTGTTTTGTTCAAGTGTAGTGAGTTTGCTTTCTTGATCCCTCCCATGCTTTTGACAGGAGAGTTATTCAAAGCTTGGAATTCATATTATCAGGTAACTCATCAAAGAATTGCCAACAAGGCGAGAAGGCGGTGATATTGCTCCTATCATACATAATCTTTACGAAGTCATTAACGAACAGCACGGGACCGACGCCATTGCAAATTAAAAAAAAAAAGGAAGAAAAGAAAAGAGAAATAAAAATCATAGAAAGAGAGACAGAGCTGGAGAGATGAATGGTAAAGTTAGGGGTATTAAAGTCTTTTACTTGTGTTTTAACGGCAAAATTGTCCCGATCCAAAACTGTGGCCAGACCGATAGTAGAGCTCAAATAAACTTAAAGCCCCAAAGACTCATAGTAAGTTTAATTCACAAAATCTATTTCTTTAGACCGTATCTAAGAACAATAAGCTCATAATATGATGTTAGTAAATCATTTGTCAATTTATATCTCTAGCTCAGCTTCCATCTTTCATAATTCATTGCGTGGTCTATATTTTACATATCATTAACGTCATCCATGATATAAGTAGGTTTATTCGTACTCTTAGAGGGACAATTAGAAATTTCACAAATTTATTGAACAGCACATCAAAGGTATTTACATGATAAATTATATTACAAGGCTCTCTAACTACGGAGCTCAGTAATTAGATGCAAATACATTTTCATACATGTTACTATATATTCAAATATGATCAAAACTGAAAATTTCTACTGTAACTCTGCGGAGAAGAGATCAGAGCTTATCTAAACCAGTAAGATGCCTACCTCCTAGGAAAAATGTTATAGGAGGGAGTGAGTTTCATAAACTCCATAAATAATGATAAATAATGCATACCCAAACAATCACATAAAATACTCCCAACATTGATTATGATGAACACTCGTTCAATCAAGCACATGTCCCATTGGCATCTATAAATAATATTACCTTCAATTAATCACATTAAATGGAGATTGATCAGTGGCGTCACAAAACTCTCGACAAGTTGTCCTCGTATATGGTCTGTCCTCTCATACGTGTGCACCAGGGAGCCGATCCCCATACATGGCCCACTAATCTATTTCTCACTTGATCAGTCTCACATTATTTTTTCATTCTTTCTTTCTTTTCCATTACCAAAAGGAGTTCATCATGTGGTTTTGCCATATCATCCATTAGTTACACATAGGGGAGCCAATCTACCATACATGGGTAACGGTCCTAGACTATTCTTACAATCCATGGTGATCAACTTCATCCTAATTTCACCTTCAAACAAGGCACAATATAGCCATATCGCAAGTAATCCAACTAACTCATATAATATAGTAAATTGCATAGAAGATAAATAGGCACATATGAATATAATTATGGAATGTATATAAATATATATAATTCTCGTATGCTTATAATATTATAATTTATATGGGGGATCATAATGTAAGTAATTGTGTTTGTATAATATAGTATTAAAAGAGTGAAGGTTGAATATCATTTGTATATATATTCATAAGATGTGAAATGGTCGATGCATGTATGCAAATAATGGTACGCATCATTTATTGTTACTCATAGTGATAAAAGAAAGAGCAAGCTTTATTGTAACACCCGCCACCCAGTCCCGAGAGACCCGACGGCGGATGCCACATTCGGTGCCGGAGACACCGTCTTAACTTAACATATAAATAATGGTCGATGCATGTATGCCAAAATAATGTACGCGATATTTGATGAGTATTTAGTATGTGGTAGAAATCTCTACCTTGTATATGATTTAAGTAAGCTGAAATTAGGAAAAAGTGTTATTGGGTGTGATTAACACCCGTCCACATTCGGTGCCAGAGACACCATCTTAACTTAACATATAAATCATAAAACTAAAATTATGAATTAGAAGTAATTGAGTATTCACAAGTTTAGCGAGTAAATTTTTTTCTTATTTTTATAATAGCAATTTCATTTCATTTTCCTTGCATTTTTTTTATATACATTGGGAAAATTCCTACAGAAATATTGTAAGAATATCCTTTTAAAAATTAAAAACTGAGCTCGCCAAACATGTGAATACAAATACTCCAATTACTCTAAACTTCAAACATCTCCAAATAATCTTTATATATAACACACTTTTATTATTTTCCATAATTGAATAAATCCTCAAATGTATTTTAAGATCCCATCATTAATTGCCATTCATTATATCTTATCAAGTCTTAATGAACTAATCATTATCAACTGACTTCAAATATTTCAATATTCAATCAATTTAATAATCTTATTCTTCTCTCCAAATATATACATCAAAATACTTTAATAAAAATTACATACTTTCAATTATATTTCAAATAACCATAATATCTGGAAATGTTAACAATTATTACATGCCAATAAATTCCTTCTTATATAAATCTCAATCGACTACTCCCAATTAGTCACTTCTGCTTTGATACGTATTCTTTCAAATCTTTCAAGTAGCAACAACATCTTCAACCTACGCGTGATAAAAATCGACGCGCTGAGTATAAAACTCAGTGGTGCTCATAACTCACATACTTACCAAGTTGCGATAGCAACTTACTTTAAAACAAATTTCATAAAATTTTTTACAATCATAAATGCATTAAAATTCAACATACATTTCCATTTATAGCAAAACAAATAGCACATATACTAGTAATTTAGTCTTCTTAAATTCATAATGCAAGCTTACTTTAGAATCATACTTAAACATAATTACTTAACATAGACAATTTCTTATCATATGAAATCATACATTCCCCAAATAAACTTATTTAATTATTTAACATAAATAATTTTATTCTTTCAATCATAAATTTCATTACTTAAACATTAATATCAATACACCAATACATATACCTTTATTTTTAATACCATGTACCGAAATATCATGCTTTGAAAATTCATTTGATAACATAATCAGTAATTTCCAAAGTAATGTTTACTAAAATAATATGATATCATTCGTTTAATTGTATTACAAATATTTTCCATAGGGCTCGCATACACTTAGGAGAAAGAGAAGCAGATAGGTTTTCAGAACAGATTCAGAATGGCATTAGGTCGCCAACAGATTTAGAACATATAGAGCGCGTCCGCCCTAACAGAACAGAAGACACCCACGTGTCTAGCATATGATCATAGCTTCTTATCAGAATGGCATCAAATGCCGAAAATGCCGAACATGCACATCTTAAAAAAAAAAAAAAATCAAATCATGCAACAAATTCACACCAAGTATATTAGAGCCCAAAATCCTTGTTTTACTTCTTAATTCATAATATTTCTCATAAAATTCATTTTCTTTAGTCTTCTTAAAATGATAATGGAAACTTAATTTAAACTTAAGTAATTCATAAAAATTTCATACTTAGGCACAATTTCTTATCGTAGGAAAATTTTCTCTTAAACTCATTTTCTTTTTTTTTTTTCTTTTTTTACTTTTCTTAAAGTCATAATAAGATTCATCATGAATAAAACTTTATCAATTAAATCATATTTTCCTTATGAAATTCGAAGAAAATGTTTTCCTCATAAATTCAACACATAGGCATGCTTACAAATCTCCCAAGAACACATTTTCACCACCAAAGTTCAATAATCAAATCATTTCATATAAAATTCCCAATTTTTATCAAATAGTATAAACTTCACAAAATCAAAAATTTAAGCAAGGTAAGAGGATTTATGAACACTAACCTTAAACATAAGCTCTAACAAATTTAAATAAGACTCTTGATGCCTTAGTTTTCCCTTGTCTTTGGTAGGAAGTTCTCCACCCTTTGTCCTCCAAATTACTTGAAATTATTCACCAAATATCTCCCAAGCTTAATCTCTAAGATTTTGATTAATTTTAGGACCAAGGTGTAATGGGGTTCAAATGTCTGGGGATACGTGAGTAAAGGAAGAAAACAAAGAGAAGAGGAAGAGAGGCTCAAAGTTAAATATGGAGGAGAGAGAAGAAAGAAGTTCATCCGTTAGCATGGATATTGGAAGAGGAAGAAACATGTTGCTCAAATTAACAACATATATTTCACTATTTCACCTATTCCGCTAATTCTCCAAAAAAATATTCATTACTTACTTCTACCCAATAAAAATAATGTAACATACTCCAAAAATATTAAAGAAAAATTAAACATATTATAGTAATTTTTCCGGACAAAAAATAAATAATTTAATCTCGGACCATGATACTATTCCACAGACCTTAACTATCTATTTCAGGACACAGAAAAAATGGGACGTTACAGTTTCTACCCCCCTTAAAGAATTTCGTCCCGGAAATTCACTGAATTTCACTTGAATTTAGCAATTACGAATCTCATAATATTTTTCCGATTTAGTTTATTCTTCCTTAATCAGGTAGCACTTACTATCCGTATATTCTATACATGATTGAATAATCAATGATTCCTAATTTGTTAAAAACTCTACATATTGACTATCATCTCTTTTAGATCATACTAATTCATATTCCTTCACATTTCTGTCATGGATTTTTTTTTTCTTAATATTCATAAATAACATAACTAAATAACATAACTAGATCCATTCTTACTTATCTAAAATTTTTTTTTTTTTTTGTTAACATCAATTCAATAGTAATAGTGTTAATAACTTAATTCCATCTTGATACTTAATCTCAAACACTGTCATGCATACATACATGCATACTTGCAAGGTCCACTCAAGAGAAAAATAATACCAAAGTTCCAAATCTCAATACGTAAAAGTATTTATACACAATCATAAGGTTACAGCAATAATGGCTCTAAAATGACGCTAAATAGCTATTTCCATAGGACAATACATCTATACGGTTGTTGATGTCAAAAATAACTGTGTCATGGCAAAATTTGTGCTTAAATCCATAAATTTGAAGTGTGACGAGTATTAGCCGAGAGCTCTAACTCTATATAAGTTATAATCAACCCTATGGACCACGTATGGCTCTATGAGATAGTTGAGGAACATTTAACACTAACAGTCCAATTTAGTTCAGATTCGCGAGCCCTTATTTTGTGTTAATTCATAGATATCTCAATGTAGTTAGGAATCTCATAAAGTCGGTTTCCATGACTTTGTAATCTCGTACTTATTAACTAGGTAACCAATCTTTTATCTTTAGGTAAACTTCATTATATATGTATTTTGGACTTTAAGTACTTATCCTGCATAGATAGCGATATGTGAGATCAATACGAATCACTATGATGTATATTTAATTTCTGTTATAGTGTACATAATTCCTGAGAAAATCCGACGAAATAAAAATTATAGAAATTTTACGTTTGGTCATTGTCTGATAATACTTCATTGTCCATCATAAATTGAATAATCATGATTCCTTTGGAATTTGTTTAAAGAAATTTATTGTAGAAGAATAATATCTTAATTTCTTTAAGGATGAATTTCTGGTTTGACTTTTTGCTGCCGAGTAC